TGTACCTGTTGTCCAGCCAACAGTCAATCGAGCCCTGTATACAATACAGACCTAGATCGCTCTCCTGACTATAAGAATCGTGTTCGATTTGCTCATGCGTCGCAGCGATGCCAAGCCACCAGATGTTTAAGGTCCTCGACAGGCGTGCTGGCGGGGTGGCATACGGCGCACTAAACAGGCACTTGTCACCCGCTGAAGCTCACGGGCCACAACCCAAGGCACACGAAGTGACTTGGACCCATGCATCGTTTTCCCTTCCACGCAACATTTCCCCTTCCACGCAACGCTTTCCCTTCCACGCAACGCTTTCCCTTCCGCGCAACGCTCCCCCTTCCACGCAACATTTTCCCTTCCACGCAACGCTTTCCCTTCCACGCAACGCTTTCCCTTCCACGCAACGCTTTCCCTTCCACGCAACATTTTCCCTTCCACGCAACGCTTTCCCTTCCACGCAACGCTTTCCCTTCCACGCAACGCTTTCCCTTCCACGCAACGCTTTCCCTTCCACGCAGCGCTTTCCCATCGGCGCAACGCTCACGCGACGCTCATTCAGTCACCCGCTCTCAACACCCTCGCGCGACTAGCGACCCCGTCCAGCACGTGCGAGTCTCCTCTCGACCACAGGTATGAGTTCGGAGCTTGCTATCATGGAACCCGTGCTCTCCATTTGTGGGCGACTGTACACAGCAAGTCGCCACAGAAGTCATCGGAAGAAGGCGTACTTTCGTTGCTGCGAAACTATCTTCGTTGGCGAGGCGTGGCTTACCCACCACAACACCACAGGCCCGGTGAAGAGCTTCGCGCATGGACAAAGAGACACGCTCGTTGTCGTGAGAAGGTAGAGTGTGAGCTCGGGCGCGGGTCAGCTCTCCAACATAACAGTATGAAAAAGACATCACAAATCAGAGCCTCGTTGCTGCGGCGCCCCGCTGATCATCTCTACAATTTACCATCCACGCGCAGCGTACTCTTTTGCTCACAACCTGTAATCATGCCGCTACTATCCCAGGCGGAACGGCAACAGCAACTGTCTGAGATGGACAGCTCTGTGTGGCCCTCACGTCGACGCCGCCACAGGCACAGGAGCAGTTCCATCCTCAATAGACGACGACAGACAATCAGCAATGTGGATGCGGAATTGGAATCCGGCAGTGCTTTGTATGTATGCGCTCGTCGTACAACCTGTCGGATCCCGTCTCAGCTAACGCGTCTACGAAGAGGTACCTCCATTCTGTCTTGGGCTCCTGGACGATGGCAACGAACACGAGGCCGACGCGTCCGGACGCGATCGTGACCAGATCCTGTCACTGTTACCCGCGTCGTACCGCAAAGAGTCGGTGACTTGGCCCGCGAGTCGAAGCCCCAATGCAAGGCTTAGAAGCTGCCAAGCAGTGCACAGCACCATACAGCTACAGTACCTACCTATGCCCAACTGACGAAATTAAGGTGTGGGCTGTGTGCCTTGGCGACCGTATTCAGGTTGTGAGAGGAGAAGAGCACTGCCTCAAATCTTGGCTTGACGTGCCTTGCTGCGCCTTGCTTGTACGAAGTGTCTGTGCCACTGACGCCTAAGGGCCGCATATCTGCCAGTGAATGACCCGTCCGACGCAACGGCGGGCGCCACCGATAAGCGGTAATTATCTCCCATACCACGACCGTCGTGCGCGTGTCTGTCCGCGACATGTGCACAGATTGCAGCAACTTTTGGACCGTCATCGCTTTCCAGCTCCGACCGTTGGCGTAGTGTTACAGTACCTACCCACTGGGGTTGGGGTGCTGTTGCAGAGAAAGAGGTTGGGAGGGTGACGTAGTCTTTGTCCACCAGATAGTCACGTTGGTAGTTGCGTGCGTGAACTAAAAAGGAAAAAACGAGGGGCAAATCCAGTAGAAGGTGACCTTTCCGACGAGAGCGACTAAGGTGTAACTAAAATGCGACTTGGGAGCTTCCAGAATCCACGACGCGATGGATGCGGCCGTCGCGCCCGTCGGAGAGGCGTTGGGCCAACAAAGACAAAGGGGGTATTAGAGCGCGTTGGGTGCCGCGAGCAGGACAAACGTGGGCACCCACCTCGTCCTTTTTGGTCCCGAACCAAATGGCCCTGGGGCCCGGCGCGTCGACAATGAGCGCTTAGAAGAAGCACTCGCAGCAGTGGATGCTATTGGGGGGTGAGAGATGACACAAATCAGCATCGTGCTCTGCAAGCTGCAAGACAATGACAAGAACTCTTGAGGGAGGCGGGTGGAGGCAAACGCTCACCAACACTCGCACGCCTCCTCAGCCACGCAGCAGCAGCACAGGGCGGCGATACAGGCCATGAAGCAGTTCTTGCTGCCACCCTTCTTGCCGCGCGAGTCTTCGGGAGGAGGACCCTGCTGGTACTGCATCGGCTGCTGGTGAGGGTAGCCCTGCTGAGGGTAGCCTTGTTGGTAGCCGCCCTGAGGGGGACAGTAGCTCTACATTTCCGAAGAGATTGAGCGTCAGCGTTCGAATTCTACTTGGATCTGCGCAAACGCGGGTAACAAGCAACAAGCAGAGGTGAGACGCGGATCCTCGGTCGCCTGGGTGGGATGGCTTACAGCCTGGGGCGGCTGGGGATGGCCGTAGTACTCGTTGCTGGCCATGGCGTACGCGATTCGACGGCTGGAGCTTCGTGCGTGATTGATTCTGGAGCGGGGGAGCGGGGGAGGCCGAGCGACACAACGGAGAAGGAGAAAGAGAGAAAAGAGCGAATGTGTCAGGGAGGGCCGCTTGGCTCTTTTGTTTGTTTGAGAAATTTGGCCACGAGCGAACGGGGCAGAGGGAGGATGCAGGGGTATGGCATTGCAGAACAAGGCCAGCACTGTGGAGTGAAACTTATCGACTAAACGCGGCTCTCGTCAGTGATCATGGAGACGACCCCAAGGCAGCAATTATTAGAATGCGACGGACGCACTATACGCCACCGAAATCATAAAGCCTGGTCCAACAAAAGAGCAGAACCTGAGAACGCTCGTTTTGAGCCGCTGGACTACTGTCCGACGGCCAGCACCATCACTTGCAGGGACTGGCCAGGGAGACGCGGGTTGGACGCTTGCAGAGTCTTGCAAAACGCCCAAACGTTGCTGACCATGGTCGAGTTACCGCGCAACGGGCTAGGCCCGGTGGGTCTCGACAGTCGCTCTCGGCCTGGACCCACACGAGCTCCAGAGCTCCGCTCAGGAGCTCGCGCCCCTTTCTGGAGTGTCTCCTTTTCTTTCTTTCTTCTCCAGCTTTAGGATACTGTACTCGTTGCAGTCGCTCAGTTAGTTGTCAACACACTCAGTTGAGACCGTTACAGACCGATTGGTCAGCCGGTTGGTGGCCTTGCTGGTGTCGGTTTCAGCTGCGGTGTTGCCATGTTCACTATCTATTGCAGTGCGTATGGCAGTGCCCTGCAGTGACGAGTGTCTGTTCCTCTCAGCACTCTGTTGTTGGCAATGCCAATAAGATCCGCGTTGGTGGTCAGATCATTGGAAAGTGGATTCGGACTCTGATTGTAGCCGTCGCCGCCGTCAAGAGGCTCGTCCGTATGAGATGTCTTATTCATATTTTGAAGAGTTTATTGTCGCAATAGCAGGCTATTTCTTCTCTAAAGTTTGCTTGTTATCCGGTCAGAGCTCGGGACTAGCTGTGCGAACTGATTGCTATTTGATGTCTCCGGGGGATGGGTTTGGGCAGCCCGGAACCGACATCTTCGAAAGTGGAGCCGGTTTAAGCAGTATCAGCCCGCTACTAGGCACTGCAGCCCACTGTGGGCACGGTGGCTACGCGACACATCCGCTGTCGCCTGCGACAGTGCCATCAAGCAGCCGGACGACGCGCCTGTGTGGCCTCGCCTTTAACAGGAAACAACATCAAGGTCGCTGACGATAACTCGAGGTCTGCGTACCTTGAAACTTACCCGACGGCCTCAAGAGCGGTTGCCAAAGCATGATAAGGTCATAGTCAATTGTTCCGGATAGTCTAGCTCAGCACGTCCTGTGCCCCGTCTCGGGGACCTGAGCGACCTAAAGGTCGCTGGACGAAAAATACACTACTACTACTAAGCATGATAAGGCCTAAGTGCCCCTGTGGGCTTCCCTAAGACCGAAGGTTGCCCGTCACTTCCAGTGGGGCGGTCAGACACCCAATGCAACCCCAGCGGCCTTGCAAAAGTCTCGACCCCGTCTCATGCAGCGTCATTTGCTGCCGGCTGTCATTGACGGACCAGTTTTATGGTTGGAGGGCAACAACCCGGGGGCGGATGGTGGCCTACTTGGTGAGCAATAGCCATAACCCTCACCCGTCAAAACAACCCCTGGCAAAGCGTACGCTCTCGAAGGCTGATGCGGCCAGGTCAGCTTGTGTGCTTAACGACGAACCGCAAGCAGGCCAGGCCCTGCAAGGGGTCTGTCAACGTCTCGCCACTTTTATTATGTAAGAGATACTGTACTGTACTTCCATGCTGGATAAGGACTAATCGAGGAGGGAAATGCCGTTGTGTTGTTGGTCGGCCAGCCCTGCAAGGCGCAGCAGGACGATCGCTTGGAGTTTATTGGTGGCCCGCAGGGCCGAAAGGCCGTTCGCAGCCACGCTTCCCTCGGACAACATGCAGGACTGGAGACCCCGAACGGCGCTGATGAACACACCCACCAATCCTGGAGACGGCGACAAGGAGAGACTTTGAGACAGTCGTTAGTGCCGGTTTGGCACACCCATTTCTGTCGCGTTTCCCGAGAAGGAGGAGCAAGTGCGAGCCTGCCTGGTGCATGGGCTCCGGGGTGAACCTCCCCAGCTTTGCCGGACAAGGAAGGGTCATTAAGAGAGAACGTGAGTGGGCGGATTTGCCACTAACACCACAGCCTTGTCCGGATGCTCACCATTGTCTCGCGAATTGCCGTCTTCTTGTCTCTGTAATGCTCCGCAAGAGTCTCAATGGCCGGCGCTGCCGATAACGTAACGGTCCAGTCTGTGTCGACCGACGACCTACGATCTCGACGACATGGGCGCCTCCGCCAAGCCATTGCGGCCCAACAGCCGCCAGTCCTCCTCGTCGTCCCAGCAGCCAGTGCCCAGCTACGCCTACGAGCAGTTCCACCGCGACAAGCAACTGCGGCATATGGCATTCACCAGCCTCTGTCGCTGGCTCCTTACCGTTGCGCTCGCCGTGTCCATCTACGGCGTCATTTGGAGCTACTCGGCCAAGGAGGCCATGCCGGCCAGCAAGAAGAAGGAGTTCAACACGCTCATCATTGGCCTTTCTATAGGCCTCAGCTTGAACTTGGCCAGCTCCCTCAAAGGTGACGTGGCCGAACTGCGGTGGTGGCTGCTGAGCCTGCACGGCTGTACTCCACGGGAGGCCGATTTGATCTTGCAGAGCGAGCATCTCAGCCGCCTCATCATGCTCGGTTGGACATCGCGTCGCTCAATTGTTCGATCCATTGTTGCTGTTTTTATGGCATTCAACCTCGCCTCGCAACTCGCTCTCGCCCTCCTCGGCATTACGTACAACGTGAACCCGGCCGACAAGTTTACCGTCACTACGCCAGGCATTGTCGAGATTCCCGACATGTCGGATATTCAGACGAAATCGGCGCTCGCGCAAAACACATCCCGGAACCTGAATGAATCCCAGGAAGTCAACGCGAGAAGATACACAGCGAATACTTTTGGAATCGTTTCGATTGCTTTGTCAGAGGGCAACATTACTACTTTCCCCAAACCGGGCAAAATCTTCAATCCTGACGACCCCTCGGTATTCTGGGATGATGAAAAGCAGACATACGCGTACGTCTTCTATGAGTCCTCGCCCGAGAACGCAGTATACTATACCAACGTCGCATCGAATCGTACAATTTCTTTACACGCCAAATGTGACAGCTGGCACGTCATAAAGGGTGGCGATGGGCTCAGCGCCAATATTACAGTACAATACGACGATGGGCAAAGGGAGGAGTGGGGGCTTCCGTCGGTAAACGGCCCTGATCAGACCATGTACTTCAACGACCCGGCAATTCAGTCTGGAGACACATGGGGTCAGGTCGACGTGTTCGAGGCTTCGAAGACGGACCCCTGGGCGTACCGCTGCAACATCACTATCGACCCTGTTTTGAATGCCGTGATCAAGGGGCACGAGGTTGGCGCCAACGTGACGCGCTACGCGGCTCCGGCCATTGCTCTCCAAGGGTACGGGTCGTCGGTGTATGGTTTGACAAATGACACGAAGCTGTACCAATGGCAGAGTTACCCAGCCGAGTCGCGCTTTGGATTCCCTGCGAACGGCTCCGCCGACTTAATGGGCAATATTGTCGCAAGGTACGCCATTGGCGCCATCGCAGTCACGGCACAGCGCAATCCAAATATCCAGGCTCGCGGCATGGTGCCTCAAAAGGGCATTACCCTAGAGGTCACAAACTGGACATATTTACACCTTATTCTCGGCTTGACAGTCGGAATGCAACTGTTGATTGCCGTTGTCTCGATTCTCATCGCAAACAGGGTGCAGGTGCGCTGCCGCAGCTACCTTTCGATGGCAGCCTTGCTCCGACCTGTGATGCAAGACGTCAGTTGCAGAGCGAGCGCAGCTGATGGGGGAGAAGTTGCCGCTATGATGGGCAAGGATACCACGCTTCGATACTGTCGGGAGCGTGGCGCTGGCTTCAAGATACAGTCGAACGGATTCTGACTTGCTATGCCATGTACTAGGTGCTTTTATATAGCGATTGGAGTTTTGGAACTGAACCGTTTGCGCATGGAGGTCTCGCCTTTGCAGCATGTTGTATAGTAGTGATCAGAGATCGTGTCCATGACCCAAGTCCTTAGTTTAGAAAGAGCTGCTTGCTGGTCTTTGAAGGCTTGGTATCGGCGGTCGTAGTCTTTGCCCGCTCGATCATATATTTCACGGTCTCGGGCTATGAGCTCGTGGTACCCGCGGGCTCGCAGCGTCTCATGGCCCCACTCCGTTTCCGCTTCGGGAGCTACCTGTATCTCTTCCTCCACGGTGTCAGAGGTTTGAGTTCGAGAAGTCCCTTGTCTTCTGGTCGTCGACCTTTGGGTTGACTGCGCTGATCCGGTTGTTGCTGGTCCTTGAACCCTTCGTGGGTAATCAGCGAAGTCTGGCTGATGAGGACGGTGCATGGGTTCCTCGTTCGACTCGGTGTCGACCAGGGACCAGATGTTCAGGTCTACGGCCTTCATCATGAATTTGTCGCTCCAAACCTCCCAGTCCTTGTTCGATCGGAGTCGGGTCACGCCCTTGGTGGTGTCCGTTGACGCCATGGCCACCGTTCGCCTTCTGTTCCGCGCAGTTGCTCGTACTAGCGATTGAGACTCTTAATTGTCAGACGTACGGTGTGGATACAAGCACAAAAGGCGTCTTCGTCCAAAGATGAGGTGTATGAGCAGTTGCTCGAGTGTATTGATCATGATCTTGATTGCTCCATCTCTGCCCATTTCTCGCGGCCATTTTGCTTGTGTGGACAAGTGAGACATACAGCTCGCTTCACGGCCCCAGTATGCACTTATGCAGTTATCCGGTGCAACTGTAGTTGTGCACGTCCAGTAGTGCAACAATACCATACCAATACCAACTTATACCATACCATTCCGATCACTGGTCGCACACCACGTCCGATTCCCAAAGCAACTCTTGAACAGAGTGACAGTACCAGGCTTTGTAGGTGGCTTCATCATCGATACCCAGGCGTCTGCGGTCGGAGTATTTGATTCGAACCCCATGCAAAGCCGCTTGTTGGGCAAGGTGCTTTCCGACGCTGCCCATACCAGATATGCCCAAGACCGTCCCAGGCTGATGCCTAGCCAGGGCTGCGTCGTTCCGTAGCGTCTCGTTGTGGAAATCCTCACCTGCATAGAGAAAACTTTGTACGGTGGCTAGAAGCAAAGCAATGATCAACTTCAAGGTTGCTTCGTCTGCCCTGCTAGGGATGTTGCTTGGGGGTGTGCTGTTGCAGTGATCGGCGCTGTTGCGCTTCATCCGCTCAACGGCAGATGGTCTGCAACCAGGGGCCACCGAGATGACAATGCGGCAGCTGTGGAGCAGGAGCTGAAGGAACTTGCTCTCGAACGGCTGAAAATGAGCGACGCCCACAGACACGATGCATGCATCAATTTGCCTACCGCCGTGCATCAGGGTCGGAACCTTCGTAATCAATTCATCGTATGTGGCTGCGTCTAGCATCTCTAGCATCTGTTGTCGGTGCGTTAGTTAACATGACACAATGCTGGGACTACCATTAAAAGACACGTGCCGTGAGGTCACAGCTGCAAACACGTTTGAACTCCCTTGCATATCTCGTCACCGCTCGGTCGCCAAAGCCGATGACCAACAGTCTCAGCTTGGTAACAGCTCGATCGGAGGGCATTTCGTCTCTTCGTAGGTTTATCTCTCTAAAGTGCTTCTGCGCCGACGTCGGACATCGGCAGGGGAGATGTTTGGAGGCTGGCACCTATAGCTTGTTAAAAGCCGCGGGTGGCAAACGCTAGTATGCTGTGGAAATTGATGTTCAAAGAATATAGTGGGACTCGTCTTCTGTGTGCTTCCATGTCATGTGAAAATGTCCCCGTGTTGTCAGCCCACTTTGCCCCAGTAAAGATTGATGGATTCTTCCTCCTCCTGGAGAGCAGTCCCTCAGACTAAATTGATGATTTGCCACCTGGACGGGCCTAGAGCGCTCAATGTGAGCCCCTAGTCCAACAACAAACGCGCTATCGGGGTGAGCAATGTACCCGCGGCAACAGTCGGACTAGAGGCCTCCTACCGGTGGACGCTCTCGTTCTGCCGAAGGCTATGTACGAGAAGATATGTCTTTTGTGTTCAAATAATATACAATATCACGCGAGCGCAAGGACTGGGCGCCCGTTCGATATATGCCTCTGGTGTGCTGGGAACCCATTTTTAACAGGCCAGGCCCAGATAGGCCTGGGTTCGCACTTGGCCGGGTCCGCATATCTGCTTCCATCTTCTTTCTCTTCTCCTCAAACCATAATACTCCTAGTAGCCAGTTGTGAAATTGTCAGTTGAGGCCGTTTTATACCATTGAAGCCGAGAGGTGAAATCAGATCATGTAAACCTTGATGCGCTGGTTATTTACGGTGACCACCTCGATTACGACGGAGGATGTCCACAATGTGATAATACCTCTCGAAGATGAGCCACAAGCCACGTCTAGTCTCATCCCTCCTCAATAATCGGAGGCAAGGTCGTTGGGGACAAGCCCATACTGCTGTGGAACAAAACCTTTTTGCGCTTGCGATACTCTCTTCGTCCTGTTAGGCCTATTGCCATAGCGAAGCTGCCTTGTCCGCCTGGTCCTGGAGTTCGGATCAGGCCTTGCACTTGAAAATGTGTCTTTAGCGCGGCGGCAGGCATCTCGGTCTGAGAAACATTCGGCGATGCTACGGCTGGAGAAGGCGAGAAGTTGGACCCGATACTGGTATCGACGGCATGTATGACGGGCAGATTGCCTAGGCGGGTTGTCAGCTTGCCGCTTACTTACGTGGATGCCTCTACGCAGACCAGCAGAGGAATCACCAGGGATTTCCATCGATCCGACGGGCACCTTGGTGCAGGCGTCGGCCTCTTGTTCACCATTGTGCCGGACTTGGAAGTCAGTCTCGGCGTCGGATAGGCTCAAGCCTAACTCATGTCTCATCGTTGACATATTGTCAGGCCCCTATCGACTATAGGGGTGTTGCTGCATCTGGGCTATTCGAACGATATTCTGCCGAGATTGTGAAAGCGCGCGTGAACCGATGCAAAATGCTGGAGCTCGCTGATATTGCGGGACACTGCGTCGAGCAGATTGAAGGAACGCTTGTCGTCGGACAGGTCACAAGAAAGGTCAAACAATGCGGAGTCTCGTTCGTCTTTACTTACGTATCTTTAGAAGCTTGGTACGGACGGCATTCTAGCTGATCGAGTGTCCGTACCAATCTGAGATTTCTGACGGGCTCGGACAGATTTGAATGGCCGCCTAAGACGACTGAGTTCACGCTGTCGTGACGACAGTACTCGATCCTGGTGTGTCACTGTGGGCGCAAAATGCTCGAACATGCCCGTTGGTGCAGTTGAATGGCTCACCCCGGACGCATCGAACAAAACTGATGCTGCAGGCCAAGTTGGATGATCATTTCCGGAGAGAAAAGGCCTCCGCCACAGTTTTGGTGCCTTGCGCTGACTGGTGGTGGGGATGATTATTGCCTTGGCCGGAGCAGTGGTCCGGTGGATAGCCAGGCCCACCATACTTCCTCATACTTCTACCTCCCACTCGCCCCAATCCGGAGCTCCGGATGACCGGGATAACCTTTCAAAGTGGCGGTTCTGTTGGTAGGAGAGCATGGGTTCAATTGGTCGCAGTTATGCAATGGTCGAGACGCTTCAGTCACATGGGGCGCAATGCCAGAGCCCTGTGGTGTGGAGGCCTACTTACCTTCAAATCAATCCGAAGCCGCTCGCAGATAAGGACCACAACAGCGCGCTGCTGCTGCTTACCTATAGTGGCGATTGCCGACTACTCCTTGTCATTTCTCATCTGCTCACTCACTAGATAGGTGACAGTCCTCACATCGCTACATATAACCAAGGGCCTCCGATGTCCGATCCGCAGGGAACTCCTACCCGATCATACATAATGAATGGCAATGTAATGTAATGTACTTTATTTACGCCCGGAGGGGTTATCCCTAAAGGGCCATAACGGTGCGCTATCTGCTCATTCTAACGTGAAGGCCGTACACCTAAAGCCCAACAATGGTTTCCTTCCTTGGCCCCTGCAGCCTCATTCTGCCAACTGACAGTCCTGCCCTGACGTCATTCCCCCAGGGTGCCCAGCATCCCATCCTCGGCAGCTGGAGCTCGGTCGGTCAGTGCGAGGCTGCGCGGCTAAGATGTTGCGCGCTGACACCAGTCCACTAGTCCAAGTCATCGCTGGTTCGCCTGTTCCTGTTCATCTGTCTGCCTCTAGCCTTCCTGTTGCCATTGCAAATTTAATCATCGTTCGGACAGCAGGGCGACTGATACATGGGCATCTGGGTGCCCAAAAAACATGTCAGCTCACCAACCTTTACTGGCTTGGCTGCTGTAACTTAGCGCATTTGCGTCCCCACGATGCCAGAGACAGAACCGCCCAGGCTGCTCTGATGACGCCCTGCCGCCTGAAACCTGCGAGTCCCGCGAAGCTCTCTTAACGGCGATCCAACGACTGGGCTAAATCTCGTGGATATGGAGTGCCATGGGAATATCACCGAGGACTAAATAGCCAGGTTCAAGTTATGTTCGCCTATGATCGAAGCGAGCAGCCGTCGAGCGTTTCTCACATGTGCCAAGCATTCGCGAGACTGGGTGCTGAGCCCATTGTCTGGATCCAAAATGTGGTAAGCACAACCACCCACCGACGCGATGACCCGTCTGCACACCCTGCGCGTTGCCGACTCGGCGAGAAGCAGCGTCGATCATACATATCCGACATTTTTACCTACGTCGGGCCTTAAGCTATTTGTTTGTACCCAGATCGTTGACAGAAAATGAATGACTGCAACCTGAAGAATGGTGATGCAATTGGTGTGCTCCGCCACTAAGATTCAGGCAGGGGGCTCTGAAAATACAGTGGTCAAGCCAGTGAAGGTTGGCGCGCTGACATGTTTTTTGGGACAGGTGCCCAGACGCCATTGCTTCACCATGAATGACATTTGGAACCGACGGTATGCCAAGGTCATTTCCACCTCAACGCAACATCGATACACTGTCGCACAGCCAGATTTACTAGGTGAATATCGGCAATGCCGCCTCTCTCTTTGACGACTAATTTAGGACAGCAGACTCCAACCACCTTCTCGTCAACAAATAAACCAACGGCACCGATCGCCGGCCATCTTGTTCAATAACGGCCACGGTAGACAATCAGTAGAAATTTGCCTCTTGACGCGCTCGTTAGTCACTCCGGTGGCGACCACGGCGATCCGCATGGCATGGGCAATAACGGGAGCTGTTAAGGCTATGCGAGCGGAGTCAGGCGGACTATCGAACGCTGTCACCCATGAGCTTGACAGGTTCGGGAGCATGTGGCTGCGAAAGAGACCGCACGTTTGACTGTCGTGGCCGCAGGAAAGCAACACCAGGTCGAACTTTGGCAGGCGGACCGCATCACGTTTTGCGAAGTCAGCGACGAGTACCTGTTCATACTCGTATGCGAGCGTTTGCACATCACCCAGGTGCGCTGGGTTGATGGTCCGTATTATAGGCTGCTTGTCAGCGGGAAGCTTATCCAACAGCTCCTTTTTAAGAAGCGCGTAGTTCGAATCCGAATGGTCTAAGGGGACAGCGCGCTCGTCCGTGAAGAAAATCGACCAATTGTGGATCTCGATCTCATCACCAGGGTTCGCCAAGGCATGCGAGAGTAGCGCAGTGGCGAGGACCTTGGGCAGAGCGTCTCCCGAGACGGCGACATTGAATCTCCTGCGTCGGGTAAAACTGACGGTCTGCGCGTCGTAGATATAGGATCGCAACGCCCTTGCCAGAGCATTGTCGTCGGGGAATGTGTAGACGCTTGGCTCCGAAACGGGCATTACTAGGCTTTGATGCTTTCGCAGCTTGTTTTGGAAATAGGCACGCATAAATACCCAACCCGCATAGTGGACAGCATTGGCCAGGACGCTGATGTTTGGTCATGCTGGGTTCTTGGAGACAAATGTGGGCAAGGGCACGTTGATATATGAGAGGTATCAGGTATCAGTTGATGGTGGCGAACCATTGCAACCAATATTAATAGCGTGGGATATTCTTCCCGCTGGGTTATAGGCACGTCGTTTTGGGCCAGAGACTTTGGGCGGGGCAGATCGCTACACGGAGGGCGACGATGCGGTCCACAGAGTCCGGCATGCAGTCATTTGATGAGAAATATCTTCGGGAGCCCCAGCTCCTATATTGCAAGCCATCGTGCATCTCTTATACACAAGTGGAAGGTTCTGGTTCTTTAGGCAGTAGTATTTGCCGGTGAAGGCAGGTGAGACATGCGGCAGTTCATTAACCTTGCAGTCTGGCGGTCGAGCGCGTCTGCACAGCCAACTTGAGCCTATGCTTCGCTCTGGGACATCAGTCCACCCGGTGCCCCATGAGCGAGAGCAAGCAGGAGCTATGTTTGCCACCCAACGCGCCACGAGCTGTCGTGGAACCGTGCTGCGTGTGATTGTTTCACACGACAGGTGAGGCCGTTATGGTGGCCGCGTAGCTGAACCTGAAGGGTGCCCGTTGCGACTGTGCTAGTTCAGGTTGCAGCAGTATTTCCTGTCCCTGCTGGACGTCGATATCCTTGCCAAGCACGAACTGTACTGAACCATGTCTTTGCTTGTGTCTCCTTTTGCTGCGTCAATCGGCATTTCGACAGTAGAAACAGCTGTCGTACACCTGCTGCCCCACTCTAGCTCGTCGGACGATCGACTGGGTGATATTCTATCCTTTGGCTGCTTTCCGACTGAGCGAAATCACAGAAATCACAGTGGCTGAGATTCTATCACACTAAGAATAAGACGCCATAGCCTTCTATGCCAGATGCCTTCTATAAAGCGTGTTTGCAAAGCAAGGTTCGGCGCGACGTCATGATGACATTAGTGAAATCAGCCCCGGTTTCCTGCGCGGCACGAGATACATGTTGGGGGCCAGATTGGCGACGGAGGCGCAACGCTCCAGCAGGTCGGAGCTTCCGGGCGATTCGGGGCTGAATCAAATGATCCCATGGGTAGGTCGAAGTCACTCGCCCGCAGCAGGAGACTATCCGAGACCTAAAAGCGGCATCTGAGGAGCAGCAAAACTTGACCCGGGATCTGAACCTTGCGTTGGAGGGCCTGGAGCTGAAGCGACTGAGCGACAAACTTGAAGCCATCACCGCGACCATCCGTTACTCCGCCGCGATCTTTCATCGAGGTCGCGGGGTCGCAGCGGCCATTGCAGCCCGCAACCTCGGCGCCTAGCAAGATGGCGGCCGCCTCTCTCGCCGGCGGTTCGCTCTATTGCACGATCGATACATCGCGAGTGGAACAAGCGAACAGAGGCCATGTGCCGGTGGGAGCAGTCCGGCAAGCCATCGAAGTAGAGATGAGGGCTGTCGCACGGCACTGATGGATATTAACAAGCTGACGACCGGGCAGAAGGTCCCCTGTGGATCTGGTAACGAAAGAATATTGATTCCCGATCTAATGACAGACACGATGTCCAACTTCGTATGACTAGCCGTGAGCTGCGATTGAGTCCCATTGAGCAACTCGTGAAGGTGGATTTGATGCATAATAGTTCTGATGTGCTTACCATGCGTATCCGACCAACACTGTCGTGTCTACTAGCTGTGCCTTCTGAAGCTCAAACTCCCGTCGCCATGTTTGTAAGCAGCTCGACAATTGATCTGGTACTGGCTTCGGAGGAATTGGCGGGCTCGACCATCTCCAGCAAGACCCCGGCCTCGAACCACGGATCGGAACACGAAGCCATCGACACGGTCTTCGACACATCAGTTCCGGAGCGAAAGATGCCCGAGCGGCTGCTACTCAAGGATGCGCCATGGAACGAGATCAAGAAACAAGTAGCCGCGGCCCTGGAGACGGACCCGATCGGGGGCACCATCCACACCAGACGGATAGGCTCATGGCGGTCGGCGTTGATTTACCGAAGAACACGACGCCACTGGTCCTCCGGCATGCTGGGGTCTTGACAGAGGAAAATAGCCAGACTTCACCCGTCGCAAGATGCCATCTACATCGGAGCAGAAAATGTATTATCGGCCCTGCTGGATCGTCCCATGTTTTTGCGTGACGATGGTTAGCGGTCAAAGCGCATGTTGATCTGCTCCACCAGGGCCTTGCTCGCAGATTATCAGAGCCAGGTTATGCTGGCCTTGACTAGGAGCGAGACGCAAAACCATGCGATCTACGCTGTGCCCAGGCCATCAAACTTTTTGCTTGTACCGGTTGCCCAAGGAGGTTCCATGATCAGCCACCACAACCCCGCGCAGTTGTTTCGTCATCATTGCAACATTGCGCGTTGCCAACGCCCCGAGTGTCCAGGGAGATAAACGATCGCCTGCCCGGCTCTCCCCGCCGTTAGGCAGGTCATCACACACGGTCATCTAAGCAAATGCAACACCTAGGCACAAATACTTTATGCTGGCTTGCAGACCAACCCTTTCTCGAAGACTGCCATCCAACCTAAAGCGACTTTCCATCAGGCCTAAGCAATTTACTCAAATCCGCACAATGGCATTCTTCCCGCGCAACTTCTATAATCCTGACGCGTCATTCGCGCCACTCTTCCGTCTCCTCGACGAATTTGACACCTACTCTCGTCCGCCCACGGGAATCGGCAATTATCGACGCTCGGAGCTGCCTGTATGGCAGCCTAAGTTCGACGTTCGCGAGACCGGTGATCAGTATGAGCTCCACGGCGAGCTCCCTGGGGTGAACAAAGAGCAGGTCCAGATCGAATTTACTGAACCACAGACTATGGTTGTGCGCGGCCGCGTTGAGCGATCCTACACAGAAGGCACCCCTCCCACAGGTCATCTCGCAGACGCACCAGCCGCTAGGACCATCACCGAAGGCGGAGAGTCGTCGCGTCATGTAACTGTTGAAGACGAGCGCGACGTGGACAAGGGCTCCACCGGCGAGGTGGTCAACCCAAAGAGTGAAGAAGCCGCTAAAGAGCCCACGACGGATGCAGCGAAGTACTGGCTCTCGGAGCGCAGCGTTGGGGAGTTCTCTCGCACCTTCAATTTTCCAAGCAGTGTCCAACAGGACGCCGTCACAGCCAGCTTCAAGGACGGAGTTCTAAGCATCGCTGTGCCGAAGGCCAAGCGCCATGAATCGCGTCGCATCACCATCAACTAAGGGGCACGGGTCCTGAAACTTGTTTCGGCAAGTTTAGATTGCTACAACGACAGGCCTAGAATGATGTCTTCGAGATTGTATACGCTCATAACTTGCACGGACTGCACGCTATAACAACGAGCAATGAAGTTGAAAAGTATTGAATTGATTTATTCTGTTTCTATTCAACCGCAGCTGAGTTGGGCCAATAAAATGGCAATAGGACGACGAGAACGAAATTGCGACATAGTCTGCAATTGTAACAGAACGTGTAACGTAATCCACCACCGAGTGCGCCACACCACCGAGTGAGCCACTTTCCACCGCAACGCGTCATTCTCCAACAAAATATTGAATTCCTCCACAACACATTATGACCTTGCCTTCATATGAAAGTAGGGTCCTTCTGGCTATCGAAGCTCTTCAAAAAGACCCAAAGCTAAGCCTTAGAGGTGCAGCAAAACTCT